TGGGGGTGGAAGGTAAGGATTTCTTTAGCTACATAATTCAGAAAGTTTCCTTTTGAAACATTCCATCGGCGATGAACGCGTTCCATTTGACAACAGTTCCAGTCATTGTAATCTTCCTTCTCTCATCACTATTAATTACTGATGGTGCCTGTCTCTATAACCGGGCGTAAATACACATAAGTACCAGTACAGTAACAGCAAGTATTTGGAACACCTGACGAATCTCTGGGATTAAACCTCAATGAAATAACACCCCTTCCAGCGAAACAAGTAGTGATTTGAATATTATTTTGGCTTTCAAGATTTTGGAATGTGACTGATTAATTTACAGGTAAAGGAAGATTGACATGAACACCGAGTCACCGAAAAAGCGGAATCACAGTCCTATGGAGAGAGCAAACATATTTTCTTTGTTATTTTTCTGGTGGATGAATGACACCTTGAAACTCGGCAACCAACGCCCCTTGCAAGACGAAGATCTGCTTTCCCTTCAAGAAGAATTCAAAACAGAAGCACTTGTTGACAAGCTTGAAGCAGAATGGCTTCAAGAATCAGCCATCTGCACTCGCAAAAATAAACAACCTCGTCTATGGAGGGTCGCGTTTAATATGTTCTCCTTCAAGAAATACCTGATGTTGGTGGCTGTCAAACTAACGCACTCTTTATCCAGTATCCTAACTCCCATAATGGTTTGGCTTTTCCTCTCCAGTTTATCAGAAAATGCGGATGTGAATAAAAGTTCTTCTATACTTCATGTTGTTGCCATCTCGTTTCTTACAGTTGTCAAGGGAATGACGCATCACCATTCATTTTTCTTAGCTGGAATATCCGCTCTGCAGCTGAAGGTTTCTGCTATCGGATTAATCTACAAGAAGGTATGAATTTCAATTTAATCTGAGGAAATTTTTTAGAGGATTATAACAAAAGCTCTCACAATCTCTATGGTTCAAAGTGTCCCACTCATGACACGAACAAAAGGTCAATAGAAACCGTCTGTCAGACTTATATTAAATGTCTTTGACCGCTCTGCTTATAGCAGAAAACCTAGAGAGACGAGCCAAGACGTCCACACTTTCCATTTCCGACTTTAGTCACTGTAGCATTACTGCACTTATAGCATATATTTTAGTACTTATCATAGCGTTTTCTTATCCTGTTGCAAAGAGGAGTTAGCATAACAAAACTTGGAAATGTTTCATTTAAAAAAAGGGGAAACACCCATTACTTTTTACCTCTTACAGATTCTTAAGTCAAATCGACGTTCTTTGAATGAAATCGCATCTGGTCAAACGATCAACTTGGTCTCAAATGATGCCAATCGATTACAGGACGCTGTTTGGAGCATGCTGTTTTTCGTGTTTGCCCCGATAGAAATTCTATCATCTGGGATACTTCTTTGGTTTTTAATTGGATGGCAGGCCCTCGTGGGAGCAGGTTTTTTCTTGATAGTGATTATATACATATCTGTGCTTTCCAAGAAAGCGGGCCGTCTGAGAGAAAATGCTGCATCCGTGACGGATAGACGTCTTGAGATTTTGAACGAGGTCATAACCGGTATTCGTTCAATTAAAATTCACGCTTGGGAATGGAACTTCAGAGATCTAATCAGGGACTTGAGAATGTAAGTATAAGTATTTTTCAAAGCGAACAATCGTCAAAAATAGGAAACAGTCAGTAACAACAACTTCTTCTTCTGCCATAACCAAAGTAATTCAGCCCGTCGTACAGTGCAACTAACAACAGTTTTGCCTCTCTTCTAACTTCTTAATCATGCGCTAATTTTACGCTTTAATCAGTTATAAAACGATTTTGAGCAGGGAAAGATAAATTGGCTTTCTTTTTACTTTTGTCCACTACAATAGACTTAGGACTCTTACGGCAGATCTTGATAGTACTTATAGCCTCAGTATTTCTCATAGAAAAAAATAATAATTTCAAATATTGTCCATTTTTTTTCAGAAAGGAGATCGGTATTATTCGTTGGAGAGGCGCCATTCTTTCAAGTTTTGATTCCTTGTACTTTACCAATACCCCTATTGCTGGGTTCATCTCCATCACAACACTACTTCTTACCAACAACCACCTGACAGCCTTTCAAATTTTCACGTTGATGTCAACTTTGAATGTTATAAAGTTCTCTGTTTCTGTTTCCATGGGAGAAACACTTCATTTGTTAGCTGACGCTAAAGTGTCTTTTGACAGGATACAGAAATTCCTAGAAGTAAATTCCTTTCCCGGCCTTGGTGAGGATGACATCAAATTGAAGTTAAATGGCAGTCCTACGTTTGATCGTAAACACTTTGAGGCAGTTAATGTCCCTTTTGATAAGTTCACAAGCTTATTCACTATTCCCGAGAAAGAGCATATTGAAAAAGCATACTTAAAAAGATCTCAAACAGAATCCTGGATCTCGTTAAAAAACATCTCTTGCAGCTGGAATCAGGAAGATAAATCAGATACATTGCATAATGTCTCGGTCAACATTTTCAAAAATCAATTCATCACCATCACAGGTCCAGTAGGTTGTGGGAAATCTTCTTTCCTGCAAGCAATACTGGGTGAACTACCTTGCAAAAGTGGCGAGATTCGGCATTCTGGAAGCATTGCATACGTACCTCAACTTCCGTGTCTTTTCTCGGGGACGATACAAGATAACATTACATTTGGCAAACCCCTTGATGAGATAAGATATCGAGAAATTATTGAAGCGTGCAGTTTGCACGAGGACCTCCAACAGTTCTGTAAAGGTGACTTGGCACACATTGGGCAACGCGGAGTTAGTCTTAGTGGAGGACAGAGCTCGCGTATTTGTTTGGCCCGTGCGTTGTATGCGGACAGAGACATCTACTTGCTTGATGATCCTCTTAGTGCCGTTGATGCCCAAGTGGGAAAGCACCTTTTCAGAAAGTGCGTTCGTGGCTTGCTCTCTGAAAAAATCTGTGTTTTGGTGACCCACCAACATCAGTTTTTGGAAAGTAATGATGAAATCATTGTCATGGAACGAGGAAGCATTGAGTGCCAAGGAAAGTACTATGACCTGCTACATAACAAAATGTTGTCCAAGAATACATTTGCTGGGAAAAGATATCAGAGAAAAGAGTCTTTAAAAAGTTCAGTTCCTCTGCGCAGGCGTCGAACAGAAACGTCACTTGGTCTCCCTACTATGGAAGAGGTTAAAGATGATTTAAACGAGGAGGGAGAGGACAGAATGATAGGAAAAGTATCGTGGACTCTTTATTGGAAATATTTCCGATCTGCTCTTCCAGCCGCGCTGCTGATGTGTCTCTTCGTTCTTGTATTGTTTGTTCAAGGTAATGCTTATACAGTTTTTTGCGCTTTTGTTTTATACTTAGCCGTATTAGGTCAATTTATTGTCAGAAATTCGGGATATGTTTCTATTCAATGGGACAAGTTTTTTTAATG